TTTATTTTATTTTGTGGAATACAATATTTTTGAATTAAATATTTGATCTATGCATCAAGATTATTCCAAATAATTAAAAATAATATAAAATAAAGGTATTGTTTTATATTATGGAACAAAAAAACATGAAAATAGTAAGCTACAGTTTATTATTGTTTTATTAAAGAATATGTTTAAAAATTCTCGTTTTTAATGTTTTATAATTTAAAATAATTTTTAAAAGTTTTATCAAAAGTTATGTAATTTTTTAAACTAGAATTATTAGTTTAATTTAAAGATAAATATTTTTTAAATGTTTATTTATTTTTTGATATTTTTGAGAGGTTTGAGAGTTTAGAGAAATTCTTGAAATACTTTTTTTTTAAATTTTTATTCAAAATCAAAATGTAACTTCCGTCTTATCGTTACATTTTCGTTATTATTGTATTGATTGGATAGTAACAATGTAACCTTCAATACTATTGGTCAATCTCAGCAATTTAACAATCTAAGGGACCATATATTTATATAAATGTCGATTATAAATAGACCATGTCAGGTCACAAATAATCTTTCTTATTAAGATATCACATACGGCAGCACATTGATAAATTCCCGAAAGTTTTGATTTACAGTACTAAGATTTTCTGGAAGTAAGGTTAAGTACTTGAACTAGATTATATTTTTAATTATATTTAAAAATCTAATTCGTGTTTATTTTTATTGTTAGGGAACAATGTGGAAATTTCGAAGATAGTGAAGATAATATTTTAAATTCTTTTACATCACTTTTTTAACTTAATCACATTATTAAAGATAAAATAAAGAAATAAAGAAAAATAAACAAGTCATCTGCCATAAAAATGAGTGGTAAAAAATCGGAAAAAAGTGGAACAAACGAGGATATTTCTTGTGAAGATGAATTCGTTCCTCCGGATGGAGGTTGGGGTTGGGTTGTAGTGTTTTCATCATTTATGATTCACGTAATTGCTGATGGAGTCACTTATACTTTCGGAATATTTTATACTGAATTTCTGAAGTATTTCAACGATTCTAAAGGAACAACAGCTTGGGTAACATCAATTATGGTTGGCACGACTTTCTGCATTGGTAAATATTTTTATTTTGTATAATATTTAACGTATATTATTTTATTATTTATTATATTGTATTTAATTTAATGTTTACTACGTTACATTAATGAACCTAAATTATTTTATAAATTTTAAAATTTTAAATTATAAATAAAATNTAAATAAAAGTGATAACTCTTATATACTTTAATGACAAAATAAATAATATAAATTTAATAATTTTAATGATTATTGTTTACGATACAAAATTTATAAGTGAGAAATTTAATTCTAATTCGATTATAAAATAAATAATAAGTTACATAATTTATTACTGTTCTTTTAACCTAAATGAGAAGTAAAGTTTATCTTGATAATATAACAAACACGATAGAATTAGAATGATAATGTATTCTAAATGATGATCTTTTTACTTGTCTAAAATAATATATAAAACAATAAACTTTATAGGTCCAATTTCTAGCGGGCTAACCAATAGGTATGGATGCAGAAGAGTAACGATAATAGGATCAATTTTAGCTTCTTTTGGCCTGTTGTTGAGCATATTTGCTCCAAATGTTATCTATCTATACTTTACAATTGGACTTTGCACAGGTCAGTAAATACACCAAGGTTGAATGTTGAAGACCTATTTAGAATTTAAATCTCTATATAATTCTTATATTTATGTATTTTTAGGTGCTGGATTCGGTTTGATGTATTTACCGGCAATTGTTTGTGTTACCTGTTATTTTGAAAAAAAGAGAGCTTTTGCTACTGGAATTGCTGTTTGTGGATCCGGAATTGGCACTTTTGCTTTAGCTCCTTTCGTTGAATTTTTAGTAGATCGTTATGGATGGAAAGGTGCTATGTTAATTGTAACCGGGATTGTTCTTAATTGTTGTATATTTGGAGGTCTTTTTAGACCTCTGGAAATGAAAAGTAAAAAACAAAAACAGCCGATGAAATCAGTATTGACTATGAAAGAAAATCCACACCTTTCATTAGAAAATGGAATTTTTAAAGGAGATAAAACAAATTTAGAAGTAAGAAGAATAAGAGCTATTTCATTTCCAAGTCACTCCATGTCAGATTTGATGCCAAACCATCCTCTATTGATGCAAATAGCGAAAGAAGAATGTGTATCCGAACGTCGAAGAATGAGTGATTCGACTCCACACAAAGAAACCGGAAGTAACAAAAATCTACAATGTAATGGCGAAAGTCCTCATATTGGACCCTTATATCGCAAAGATATTTTTTATAGCGGAAGTTTACTCAATATACCAGAATATCGTTCTAATCCTAATTTATATCATTCACAAATTATTTCCATTCCCAAGCAAGAAACAACCGAAATGGCAAAATCTACATTAACGAAATTATTTGGATGCTCCAAAGAAATGCAAGATACTTTTAAAGAAATGATGGATTTTCATTTAATGAAAAATATAATATTTCTCATGTTTGGATTTTCTAATTTTTTTACAAACATCGGGTTTAACGTTCCATATGTATATAGTAAAGACAGAGCTCTAGAAACTGGAATTGCCGGAAATGAAGATGCCAGTTTTCTCTTATCAATAATTGGTATTGCAAATACATTAGGACGTGTACTTCTTGGTTATCTATCGGATAAACCTTGGGTGAATCGACTTTGGCTTTATAATTCATGCTTAACAATCTGCGGTCTTTCAACGTCCTTGAGTTTTCTGTGTACCGATTATAAATCAATGGCCGTTTATTCAATCGTTTTTGGAGCAACAGCGGGTATGTTTATAAAGGATCATTGATTAAATATTCGTAAAATATTTTAAAAATCATTTTGATTTATCTTCATTTGTACAGGTGCTTACGTTAGTCTTACATCTGTCATTCTTGTCGATCTACTCGGTTTAGATAAATTAACAAATGCTTTTGGCCTTCTACTTGTCTTTGAAGGTATTTCTTGTCTCGTAGGTCCACCAATAACAGGTAAATAGTTTTAATTTTATATAATAGGATGAAATTTTATTATTCTTTTGATTATACTTTATTTATTTTTATTTCTAATTTTGTTAATTTTTTTTTTTATAATTTATAGGTTGGCTGTATGACTGGACGGGTTCTTATGATCCAGGATATCATGTTTCAGGAGTTATGATTGCAGTGAGCGGCTTGATGTTATTTGGAATACCATTTATAAAACGATGTCAAGCCAGATATAGTCAGAAAAGCAGTCAAGAAGAATTTGTCCAGAATGGAGAAATAGCGAAAACATTATCTTAATAGGAACATAGTGATATAATTAAAAAGTAGATATTTTAAGCTTTTACAGTATGATAACAATACTTAGTCAAGAACAACAAAAGCTTTCTCACTAGATTCATATAAATTAAAATACAAATACATACATTGCAACGTATATCATGTAAATAAAATATTTTATGTTCTGATTTGAAGTGAAAACATCATACTTAAAACTTTATTTAAACTAAATACAGTACATATAAAAATAATATGAAACGAAGTAGATATTTTCTGTTAATAAAAAGTATTGTCAATTATGAAATAAATTTTGGGGTTTTAAATTATTGGCAACTATTAAAGTGAATCATGAAATTTTACTAGTTAAAAGAACTACCAGTTCTTATGGAAAAAATACATTTTGTTATCTGATTAATTTACATCATTCAAATATAGTATAGTAATTGTTATTCGAATATTCATTAATCCATTGTTAACCTAATTAAAAAAATAATTTTGTTTGAGTTTCGCATATTTATCTGTTATTTTAAGAGCTTTGCAATGTCAGTTTGCAAAAATCATTTGTACAGTGTCATGAAATGTGTAAAATTTCACTGCCATTTTGAATGTAAGTTTTCGTCAACATCGAATTTATGATCAATGTGCTGTTCCTATGAATTAGACATATTGTATACGTACAAATACTTATACTTTATGTTTTATGTACAAATATTGGTACAATAATAAAATTGTTGCACTTTTAAAATTAAAACAAAAGTATTTTTATAATTATGAAATACAAAATTCAATTTTTGAAATAAATAAATAACTTTTAATAAAGTCACATTTATGTTTCTATAAATAAAATTATACTATTTTAAAAATAAATGTTTTAATAGTCAATAAAATGAAAAGTTTTTAATCAACAGGACTAATAAAAATTCTTAGAATTTTATTGACTTATTTAAAATATTAATAATGACAGTTTTATATAACTGATTGCTGATATCTTAATATAATCTTAATTTTGATAAAATTGACTTTTAGATTTTTTATTAAATTTGAAATATAAACTTTAATTTTCTTTAATTTATGATTTTTCTATCTTCTATTGATATATTTTGTATACTTTTTTGTTATTAGATTCTGTAAAAGATTTTAAAAACATTTCCTTTATACCTATGAGTTCATATCTTACTTGTTAAATATTAATTAGCGGTACTCACAAGATTTTTATCCGTATTATTGTATTCTACATTTCGCCTCCAAGCGCCAAGTTTATCTTAACCGAAGGAAAACTGCTAAGAAAAATTTTGACCGTTGTCTAAATTGTCATAAATTTTACTTCGGACCTGTATTCAATTTTTTCCAACATGGCATCGCTATAGCCACTCTATGTAATATATTCTAGCTCGTTGGGAATAACTAAAAATGAAAAATATTCGAAAAATTACAAATGTCTTTTATTGACATGTCCAAAGGCGATTGTATTGTGAATGGTCGATAAACCATATTTACTATCATAAATATTTTTTTAAAATAACGTTTTGAAGTTTGAACAAATAAACTTTAATTTGTGTGTGTGTGTGTCAATGGTCTGGTCTGGTGAAGTACAGCAACGCAACAGGTAGACGATCTGCCAAGGATCTGCCTCTCTGATGACTTTTATGGGAAACTGGCCCGTATTTAGACGTTAAACACTTGAAAAACCCCAGAAAGCTCCAGAGTTCCACCCCGTTAATGAGGCGCGAGTCCGCGACCAACTACCAGTGTTCGATGGTTTTATCCACTCGGGCACTGTTAGGCCTTGTGTTAATGGAGTGGGCTAGGAAGCAACTATATCCCTTCGGTGAATCCATCTCTGTCCCAAAATTTCAAAAACAAAAAAAAATTTATTTTTATAATTTCTTGAATATTAAATAATGAATGCTTAACAATGGTTTTTAATCTATTTATTGCAAAGTTTACTTATTGATTTATTAAAAATAAATATTGCTAAGAAATATTTTGTCCTTAGAAATAATAATGAACATGGAATTCAAATGGTATACTTCTTTTTCCTTTTACTTTTATTGGAAGTATTCATGATTTTCTACAATTTTAAATACTATTAAACTAATTACAATGTGAAAATTAAACTAAATTATGAAAAAATTCGTCATCACAGCTTTCAGAATCTAAAAGACAAAGTTCACAAAGTTCTGGAAACTGAAAAATTGGAACAAGGATGCAATTGGATAATTGTTTTTGCAGCTTTTATGATTCATATCATTTCCGATGGAATAGTTTATACTTTCGGTATATTTTATTCCGAAATTATTCACAATAACGGATATAACAGCGGTGAAACAGCTTGGATTCCATCTACTATGAGCGGAATGCTTAATTTTGTCGGTAAATTCATATTTTATAGTAAATTAAATAAACTTTAAATTTTTCATATAATAAATATAATTTTAACATAATTTTAGGCCCATTAGCTGGAGTTCTGACAAATAAATATGGTTGCCGATTTGTGTGCATATTAGGATCTTTGGTATCATCTGCTGGATATGCACTTGGCTCTTTAGCTTTTAATATAACATATTTATACTTAACTGTTGGATTATGTACAGGTAACTTTTATTAATAAGCTTACACGATTATTCAAAATCAAGTAGAACTGATTTTTTTAAAACTCTTTCCGCGCTGTGGGCACTAAGAAGGCCTCTAACTCATAATCGCTTCTTAAAAACAAGTTCACAATGGAGCGGTGAGTGGCGAGGAACGGGGACCGATATATCCGGACGAACCACCAGACAAATGAATTCTTCCACCCCGGGTTCCTGGAGCTGTAAGCTGTCATCTTAGCCACTTGGCCATCTGTCAATACAGCTAATTAAATAACACTTCAGTTTTACCATCGTGTTTTTTAAAATCTGTTGCGTGTTTTTGTTTCGATAATGGTTGATGGAAGAAGGCATGGACAATCTGCCAAGAAGGACGCCTCCCGAGAGGACTTTCTGTGGAAAATAGGACCTTATTTAGTGTTAGACACGTAAAGAAAATCCCAGATGCAAAAAGCCTCTCGACCTCTCAGCAAAACCTTTCCAAAAAACCTTGTACATAGAGTAAATACAATTAGACAAACGATACATGAATCCCAAGTAAATTTTCAGTGGCGCGTTATCCTGTGAGCTAAAAGGACACTTGCCTTGGACCCCCGCCAACAGAGGGCCCAAACTAATCTTTTATAAGAAAAAATTTCTACAAAAAATCTCCCTGAAGAAAATGTCTAGAGCAATGATTCTCAAACTTTTTCGATCCACTGCCCCCTTTGTTCCATAAAGTTATACCCAACGCCTCCTAACCCATTTTCTCTTGTGTGAGAAAAAGATTGGAAATATTCTTAGGAAAACTTTTCTATGAATCTCACACTTTGTGCCCTTACTGTACATTGTTCTCATCATCTGGAAACCATTAAACGCAATGTTTCCTCTTATCAGCCCCAATTTTGCCTTTGGTCACCGTTCAATACCCTGCCTCTATCATAGATCTATTCATCGCGCCAGAAGGGGGCGTTATTGCTTACTTTGAGAAACGCTGAGCTAAAATAAAAGT